CATGGAGGCAAGCGCACCGCTGGAAAGCTGGTCGACCTTTCGATGTGGCTCGGCAGTATCTGCCTGGAGAGTCAGGGATTCAGCTTCCGAGGGGGGTCCTGCTCCTCCTCTTCCTCCGCCACATCCCTCCTCACCATCGTCACAATAGCCGTACTCAACATCATCCAGTGGGCTCGAGCGGCCAAATCACGCACAGTGCTGAAGCTCCCAGAAATTCTGCAAGGACAGGCGCACCCGAAGGATTGATTCTGCAAGCCCGTTGGGGTACCCATCCCCTGCTTCTGAGGCAGGGCAGACATTGCCTGCCTGAAGAAGAATAGAGACCCCGCAGACGAGGAGCAAGAAGGTGATGGGAAAGGAGGACAAGGAGGGGCAGGAGGAGGAGGAGGAGGAGGAGCAGGAGCAGCAGAAAGGACGAGGAGGAAGAGGAGGAGGACCTGAGGCGGACGCAGAGGAGGAGGAGGAGCATGAGCAGATGAGGATGGAAAGGCCTGGAACAGGAGCTGAAGGAGAGGAAGGAGTACGACGACGATGAAGAGAAATGGAAAGAGGGTGAGCCCCTCTGGGACCATCACCTTCAATATTCGTGCAGACGGGTATGAGACACTGCACGATGGTGCTGGATCAGCCGCTCTCCGCAGGCAAGGGAGATGGGAGAAAAGGGACCAGCATAGGCGCCCATTGAGGGGTACAGAGGAGGAAAAAAGGGGAAGCAGGGAGACGGAGAGGTGGGAGCGAGGTCGGCGACAACCCGCACGCCGAACACCAAACGACAACGAGCGCCGAGCGACAAACGAGCGCCGAGCGACAAGCGACAAACGGGCGGCGCCATTGACGACCACGAGCGCCGAGCGACAAACGACAAACGACGAAGACGACGGCGACAGCGATGACGACGACGGCCCCCACGGCTGACTCATCAAGTGAGCAGGGCAGGTAAGCACCTCCCCTCGCCCGAGTTCTTGCCCCGCATTCCACATCTCTCCTACCCAATCGTGACACAATTCCCCGCAACACACAAACACACACACACACAACAACCAAAAATGATAATTGAGGCGGGAGGGGGGAGAATGATGATGATAATGATGATGGTGATGAGAATGATGATGATGGTGATGATGACGATGGTGAATGGTGATGGTGCTGATGATGATGATGATGATGATGGTGATGCTGATGGTGGTGATGATGATGATGATGGTGATGGTGATGGTGATGATGATGATGCTGTTGATGGTGATGGTGATGATGCTGTTGATGATGACGCTGATCATGATGATGATGGTGATGGTGATGGTGATGGTGATGATGATGCTGGTGCTGATGCTGATGCTGATGCTGACGCTGATGCTGATGCTGATGGTGGTGATGATGAGGAGGAGCAGCAGCAGCAAAAGCAGAGACAGGACCAGCAGCAAAAGCAGCAGCAGGAAGAGCAGGGAAGGAGGAGGAAGAGGAGGAGGAGGAGGAGGCGGAGGAGGAGGAGGAGGGGAAGTGGGGCGCCTGACCTGCTAGATAGCTGCCGCCGAGACACCTGCCCCTTCCACCCAGCTTTTCAGACAGCGAGCGAAGGTCGTTGAGGGCCAGAGCCCTGGAGCACCGACGATAAATAATATAGCAAAGGAGCGGAAAGCAAACATGGCCCGCACCGAATTGAGGCGGGAGGGGGGAGAATGATGGCACTGATGTTGGTGATAATGGTGGTGATGCTGAGGATGGTGATGGTGATGATGATGGTGATGATGCTGCTGATGATGATGGTGATGGTGATGGTGATGGTGATGGTGATGGTGATGGTGATGGTGATGCTGATGATGGTGATGGTGATGGTGATGGCGACGGTGATGATGCTGATAATGATAATGATGATGATGATGATGATGATGATGATGATGATGATGATGATGATGATGATGATGATGATGATGATGATGGCGGTGGTGTTGATGATGATGATGATGGTGATGCTGATGATACTGATGATGGTAATGGTAATGGTGATGACGTTGATGATGATGATGATGATGGTGCAGATGGTGTTGGTGAAGATGATGCTGATGATGATGACGATGATGCGTATGCTGATGCTGATGCTGATGGTGGTGATCATGATGAGGAGGAGGAGGAGCAGCTGCAGCAGCAAAACCAGCAGCAGGAAGAGCAGGGAAGGAGGAGGAGGAGGAGGAGGAGTGGGGAAACTGACCTGCTAGATAGCTGAGGCCGAGACACCTGCCCCCTCCACCCAGTTTTCCAGACAGCGAGCGAAGGTCGTTGAGGGCCAGAGCCCTGGAGCACCGACGAGAAATAACGTAGCAAAGGAACGGAAAGCAAACATGGCCCGCACCGAATTGAGGCGGAAGGGGGAGAATGATGATGATGATGATGGTGATGATGATGATGATGATGGTGATGATGATGATGGTGATGATGATGACGGAACTGATCCTGATGATGATGGTGATTGTGATGGTGATGGTGCTGGGAATGGTGCTGATGATGGTGATGGTGATGGTGATGGTGATGGTGATGATGATGATGGTGCTGATGATGATGGTGATGGTGATGGTGATGGTGATGGTGATGATGATGGTGATGATGATGATGCTGCTGCTGATGATGATGGTGGTGGTGATGGTGATGGTGATGATGCTGATGATGATGGTGCAGATGATGCTGATGATGCTGATGATGATGACGATGCTGATGCTGATGCTGATGATGGTGGTGGTGATGATGCGGAGGAGGAGGAGGAGCAGCAGCAGCAGCAAAAGCAGCAGCAGGAAGAGCAGGGAAGGAGGAGGAGGAGGAGGAGGAGGAGGAGGAGGAGGAGGGGGAGTGGGGCGACTGACCTGCTAGATAGCTGCCGCCGAGACACCTGCCCCCTCCACCGAGCTTTTCAGACGGCGAGCGAAGGTCGTTGAGGGCCAGAACCCTGGAGCGCCGAGGATAAATACCATAGCAAAGAAACAGAAAGCAAAAATGGCCCGCACCGAATTGAGGCGGAAGGGGGAGAATGATGATGATGATGATGATGATGATGATGATGATGGTGATGATGATGATGAAGATGATGATGATGATGATGATGATGCTGATGCTGATGATGATGGTGGTGGTGATGGTGATGGTGATGATGCTGATGATGATGGTGCAGATGATGCTGATGATGCTGATGATGATGACGATGCTGATGCTGATGCTGATGATGGTGGTGGTGATGATGCGGAGGAGGAGGAGGAACAGCAGCAGCAGCAGCAAAAGCAGCAGCAGGAAGAGCAGGGAAGGAGGAGGAGGAGGAGGAGGAGGAGGAGGAGGAGGAGGGGGAGTGGGGCGACTGACCTGCTAGATAGCTGCCGCCGACACACCTGCCCCCTCCACCCAGCTTTTCAGACGGCGAGCGAAGGTCGTTGAGGGCCAGAACCCTGGAGCGCCGACGATAAATAACATAGCAAAGAAACAGAAAGCAAAAATGGCCCGCACCGAATTGAGGCGGGAGGGGAGAGAATGATGATGATGATGATGATGATGATGATGATGATGGTGATGATGATGATGATGATGACGATGATGATGATGATGATGATGATGATGATGATGGTGATGATGATGATGGTGCTGATGCTGATGATGATGTTGCTGATAATGATGATGATAATGATGATGATGGTGATGTTGATGATGCTGATGATGGTGATGGTGACGGTGATGATGATGATATTGATGATGGTGATGGCGATGGTGATGGTGATGATGATGATGGCGATGATGATGATGATGCTGATGATGATGGTGATGGTGATGGTGATGGTAATGGTGATCGTGATGATGATGATGCTGATGATGATGATGATGATGATGATGATGATGATAATGATGGTGGTGCGGATGGTGCTGATGCTGATGCTGATGATGGTGATGATGATGAGGACAAGCAGCAGCAGCAAAAGCAGCAGCAGGAAGAGCAGGGAAGGAGGAGGAGGAGGAGGAGGAGGAGGAGGAGGAGGAGGGGGAGTAGGGCGGCTGACCTGCTAGATAGCTGCCGCCGAGACACCTGCCCCCTCCACCGAGCTTTTCAGACAGCGAGCGAAGGTCGTTGAGGGCCAGAGCCCTGGAGCACCGACGAGAAATAATATAGCAAAGGAACGGAAAACAAAAATGGCCCGCACCGAATCATGCAACACGACTGGAAGAAAAACAACTGCACAAGCACCACTGTTCGGAGGTCGGGGTGGATTTCTTGGATCGGCGCTGGACCGCCGGAGCGCGCCAGGGGCGGCCACGGAGGCGCCGCTAGGGGGGGCCCAGCGCAGGTTCAAGAAGTCCGCGCGGACCCTCGAAAATCTGTGACTGTGCCGCCGATTCTTCTTCTTTTTCTAGACGAGCGCGTTCCACGACTCTCAAAGTAACTACTCGTGAATGACCTGGATCTGCCGCGGGGGATCTACTATAAATTACATAGAAGCAGACATGTGATTCCCGAACGTTTGCGAGTACACGTCGTTCTTTTTTAATCGTGCTCATTTCTAATTGTGCTCGTTTCTAATTATTCCTGGCCCCCTAGTGGCCAAGAAGAGGCCCAGGATAGAAGAATTGGGAATGAAATGACTTTGGCCCCAGAAAAATCAAATAACGTCTGAAGAATTAGATACGAGCCATGTGTAGGCACTTTGCGAGTAGTGGAACGCGCTCGGTGATCTTCTTCGAGCGACGCTTAAAAGACTTCGCGCAAACACGCAGCATATTTTACGCTGCTGCCCCGCCACAGAGGCCCCCCATGCCGCGGCACTCCCCCGGAGCTCGAGGACGGAGCAGCCCACCTCGGCCGGAAGACTTGGAGGAAGCACGCGCAGCGTCGTCGATGTGTGCGGGCGAGCGGCCCTGGAAAACTTCGAGCGGCGATCTGGCGGCGCTCTTAAAAATCGGCCCGTGCATCGCGGTCCCTCTTCGAGGCCCGGTCGGCACCCGGGGAGAGGCGGCCCCAACGCCAGGCGAGCCGCTCAGGCGGCCTGGAGCATCTGCACCTCGTCGAGCTTGCGGATCATGTCCCGGAGCTCCGACATGAGCCGCTGGTTCTCCCTGCTCTGGGTGAGCAGCTCGCTCTTGAGCTGGACCTCCACCTGGCTGACCTCGGCCGTCACGCCGGCGGCGACGATCTTGCCCTCGAGAGCTGGAGGCACGCCACCCTCGCGAAGCTGCATCTCGAACCGCTCCTGGCGCAGCTGCAGCTTCGCGCTGAGCTCCTTCTGCTTCGCGTTGGCCTCCGCAAGCTGCTGCGACAGCCGCTGCTTCTCCTCGGTTCCCAGCGTGGTCTTCGCCTCGAGCTTCTTGTTGTTGTCGTTCTGGAATAGGATGCGCTTGACAAGGCGGTCCCGCTCCGTCGTCATGTCCTTGACGTTCTGGGTGAGGTACCCTGTCTCGCCCTCCAGGGCTGCCACCTGGCCCTCCAGCTGGACCTTCTCGCCCTCCTTGAGGAAGATGTCCTCCTCCAGCTGCCCCTTCTTGAAGTTGGCCTCGGACACCTTGTCAGTCAGCCTGCCGACCTCCTTGGATATCATGGCGCGCATCTCCAGCCCCTGCTTCACAGCCTGCTCCGCCGCCGACTGCTTCGAGAGCAGCTCACTTTGTTCAACCCTCCCCGCATCGATCTTGGCCTGCAGGCCAGCGTTCTGGCCCTGCAGGGTCGAGATCCTCTGCTCCAGCAAGGAGACCGCGTTGTCGCGCGAGGACACCTGGTCCAGCAGGTCCTCTTTGTACCGCCCGGCCTCCACCACCTTATCCGTGAGCTTGGCCACCTCACCCACGACGACCTTGCGCTGGCTCCTGAGGTTCGATATCTGCCCCGACACTTCCTTGATCTCGCTCTCGTAGTTGGCCACTATGGACCGGGAGTCCTTGAGGTCCTGCTCGAGCCCAGCCTTGACCCCCACCAGGCCGTGGATCGACTCGTTGAGCTGCGCCTCTTGGGCCTCCGATGCAGCGATCTGCTCGCGCAATGCTGCCTTCTCGACCTCGTTCGTGACAACCTTCTGCGTGATCGAGGCGACCTCCTTGGCGATCAGCTTGCGCTGCTCCATGAGGAGTGCAATATCGTCCTCGATGGCGGCCTTCTTCTTCTCGAGATTGCCAGCGGTCGTCTTCTGAGCGCCGATCTTGCCCTCGAGGGACGTCTTGTCGCCCTCGAGGCTCTCGACCCTCTTGGCGAACTCCGCGTTCTCGGCGTTGAGCTGCGCGATCTCCGTATTAAGCTGCTCCTTCCAGGGCTCGAGCTCAACAGTGTTTCCAGTTTTCGTTGTGTTGTCGTTTTCCCTCGTTCTGTCTCCGTTTCGCCGCTGCTGCGGAACAAGCTCGAAACGGAGACGTTTCACGAAATAGCCCAAACACCGCTAGCTCGAGCCCTGGCTCCTTCTGGCTGTCCAGGTTCACGACCTTCGACGTCAGGTTGGCCACCTCGCCGATGATGACCTTGCGCTGCTCGACGAGGAGGGCGGTCTGGCCTGCGGCCTCGTCGGCCTGGGCCTGCAGCGCGGCGCTCTCGGCTGAGCTGGCGCCGATCTGCTGCGACAGCGAGGCCTTGTCCGCCTCCGTGGCGGCCACCTGCCTCTCCAGCTCGGCCTTCTGCGCCTCCGCCCCCGCGCGCGCCTCCTCCAGCTCGTCCCTCTCGTGGCGGCGCTGGACCACGATGTCTCCGAGGTCCTTGACGTGGTTCACGATGACGTTGCGCTGGTCGAAGATCCTGTTGCGCTCGGCCTCCGCCTTCTCCACCTCGCTCTCGAGCTCCTTCTGGCGCTTTGCCGCCTCCACCGTGCGCTGCTCGGCGCCGTCTCGCTCCTGCGTGAGGTCCGTGGCCACCCTGGCCGTCCTGCTGTCAAGCTCCATGCTCGTCATCTCCAGCTGGTCGCAGGCGTTCGAGTAGGAGTCCTGCACAACCCCGATCTGTGCGCGGAGCTCGTCCATGTCCTGGCGCAGGTCCGCGTTGATGCGCCTCTCCTCCTCGACCTTGGACAGCATCAGCGTCTGGAGCTCGCCCATCATGTTCTCGATCGCGGCCGTCTGCTTCTCCTGGGGATGTTGCACTCATTCCCCCAGCGTAATGCGTTACGGTCGGAAAGGGGGGAGGTCGGGCCTGCGAGCGCCACAGCATGCTTGCGAGCACCAAAGCATGCCTGTCATCACCACAGCATGCCTGCGAGCCCCGCGCCATGCCTGTGGGGAATCGACACCCCCCGCGTACGCTCGGTACCGGTACGGGGAGAGGGAGGGGGAGACCCTTCGTAACGCACGTACGCTTCAGTCAACCCGTATAGTAAGAATGCGCGGTAAGGATGCCAGGGCCGTGGAAAGCCATGCTGATGCGTTTCGAGCAGGGCTGGCAAGCGAAAGCTGCCAGGGATGGGCCGATAGAGCAAGGATGCAAGGGTCACCTTGGAGCGTCGCTCATCCTCACCAAGCGGGTTGACTGTACGGGTTCACCGAATGAAAGAGAGTCTCCTGCTTCTTCAGGGACTGCTCCAGATTCGAGCTGCTGCCAGAGCTCGGAGGCCCGCCCTTGGGCGCCTCCGCGATCGCCTTGGCGCGGCTCTCGCTCGGCGTGAAGCTGCCGAGCATCCTTCCAGGTGCTGCCAGAGGTGGCCCTGGCCCAGACTAGAAGCCCCGCTCCTCTGGGGGGGCCCCGGAGGAGGCCTCGCGGAGGCCCCGGACCACGAGGCCCTCCGATCTGACTCTTTCAGTCCGCAGCCCCAAAAACTCCTGGCCCCTTCACGGGGACCAGTTTTGCGCCGTGGATCCACGAACGGGCCCCAGAAGCCGAAATCGATGGAACACTTCGGGACATGATGGATCGTGTCCTCGGAGATCGGGGGAAGAGCGCCCGGGGCTCCAAAAATGGCGTGCAGAGCTGGGGGGCGCCTTGGGCCAGGATCGCTTCTGGCGGCCGCCAGGTCCTGTCGAGGGTGCCCTTCCCGAAGAGCGCGTCGATGATGCGCCCAGGCTTCCTGGCGGTCACAGGAACACCCGCGGGGGGGCCCCTGGCCCACACGCGGGACAGAGCCGACGGGAGTCGCCACGTCCTCGAGGAGACGCCACTTCCGCGAGGAGGTGCGACCCCCAGAGCACCCCAGCGCCCACCCAAGACGAGCCCAAACGTCCAACTACACCTCGTTAATTTCTAATCGTGCTCAGTTCTGAGTGTGCTCGTTTCTAATTGTTCCTGGCCCCCTAGTGGCCAGGAAGAGGACCAGGATAGAACAATTAGAAAAGAAAGGATCTTGGCCCCAAAAAACTCAGAGAACTTTCGAAGAATTAGACATGACCAATGTGCACCTCCTCGACCCTCGATCCTGGAACGTCGATTTCCAGGAGGAGCCGGTGGCTCCTCCTGGCACTGCGCGACTGGCCCGCCCTGCCCCCCTCAAGGTCAGCCGCTCCCGGGCTCGGGGCTGGCCAGCTTCTCCCCTGAGATCCAGGCATTGCATGCTTTTCACGCTGGGCGTCTTCGCCGCGGGGACCCTCACAGTGCCGCGAAAAGAGTGGGACTAGAGATCTGGTCGTGATTTCTGCGATGTTGCAATTTTGTTTGCAACGTCGGATCTCCACGAACGCCCACAGCGGAGGCCTCCCAAATGGGGTCCGAGCAGATGGGCTCAGAGGATCGTGCCGAATCGCCGATGCATCGCGGATGCATCGGGCAAGTCGGCGTGGAGACAACCGGGCTCCACGTAGAACCGCCTTGCCGATGCATCGGCGATGCGGCACCATCCTCCGACCCCATCTGCTCGGACCCCATTCGGGAGGCCTGGGCAACGAGAAGCCTTCGAGGACTACGACTCCGAGATCCTCCCATATGATTTGTTCAATGCGCGGCCCCAAATCCCGACCTCTTCCTCAGGGGTAGGTGTTGTCCGGGATCCGTTTGTGATGGCCCCTGGGCCCGGTAACGGACCCAGGAGGCCGACATTGGGGGAAAAACCCTCGGACTCTTAAAACCATATCCTCGGAAATCTGGGGCCGAGGATTTGTCGCGCGGCCATCCCTGGCGGCGCAGCTTCTCCGCTGGGCCCAACCTGTGATGTCCTGAGCTGTTCAATACGCGCTTGCCAGAAGTCCCGACCCTCATCCAGGGTCGTTTTTGAAGGTCCCGAGATCTGGCGAGGGCCCCCAGAGGCTGAACAAAACAAAAAACGCCCGTCGGATATGTTCACTACGCGAGCATGTTGGGAACCTCAGACGATGACGCCGTCGCGCGGCCACTCCTGGCGACGCGGCTTGTGCACTGGCCCCCAAAATTCGAAGGAAGCAAACAAGACTGTTAGGAATGCTGTCCTCCGAGAGGAAGAGGAGGGGAAGGAGGAGGAGAAGGAGCAGGAGAAGGAGGAGGAGGAGCAGGAGGAGGAGGAGGAGCAGGAGGAGGAGGAGGAGGAGGAGAAGGAGCAGGAGGAAGAGCAGGAGCAGGAGAAGCAGGAGGAGCAGGAGCAGGAGGAGAAGGAAGAGGTGAGGAGGAGAGGGAGGAGGAGAAGGACGAGGAGGAGGAGGACCAGTGTAAACCCAAGACTCATCAACGATGTTGGAACAAACCCTCCCCCAAAGATCCCTCTCCATAGGCCCCTACAAAGATGTTTCACTGAGAGAAGTGCCCAGTTGGGAGAGAAGACCATGAAGCGTGCGGAAACAGCATTCTCGGAACCTCAACGCCACTAATAAACCTGATTTTTACGCATTCACAATCCTGAATCGTGTGAGAACGCCATTCCTGGTACTTCAACGCCGCGAATCAACGTAACTGGTGCGCCCTGACAGTCGTGAACCGCTCTGGAACACAAGTTCTGACACGTTAACCATGGGCAATAGCGAACCTCTTGCAACGTTTTAGTAGGAATGCGCGCAGCTCTGAAGCGAAACCACATGTTGAAAACGAACCGCTCTCAATCCGTGAAACTCTGGCATGGTTCACAGGCGTGCGAGCGCAGCGCTAAGGCGAGAGCCACATGTTGAAAAACACCCGCCCTCCATCTGTGAAACCATCGCCAGTGTTTACGCTTCAGCATCACGAATGGTGAAGAAGTCTCAAGCGAGACGCCTGGGCCGCCCTTCCGACTGGCCTCGGGGTGAGACAGGTAAGAGTTATCAATGAGGAAAACAAATGTAAGAGGAGGGGGAGGAAGCGGAGGAGGAGGAGGAGGAGGAGGAGGAGAGGAGGAGGAGGAGGAGCAGGAGGAGGAAGAGGAGGAGGAGCAGGAGGAGGAAGAGGAGGAGGAGGAGGAGGGGGCTCAAGCCGTTTGCGAGAACCCGATCTCTCGCACTCAAAGGGGTGGGGCCAGGTGCATCGTTCCTGCAGGGTTGGTTGGCCACTCAGACGAGACACTGCCCGACCGCAATGGTGTGCGGCTTGCAGGATGTGTATGACCAGCGTTCGAAGAAGACGTACAAACAGCACGTGGTGTGCGAGTCGTGCAGAGTACGGCAGTTCAGTTCACATCCAACGCGAAGAAGAACATGTGGTGCAACTGTGGCGTCGCTCTTCATATCCCAGGAGGTGCAGGAGAGCGTGGAGGTCATGATGAGGGAGCCCCAGAGGCAGGACAAGGAGCTGCGGCGGCTCCAGAGTCCGATATGCGAAACATGATGGGTGCCATTCTCGGGGGGTGCCCACGGACCCCCAGAAGGCGCAGCTCGGCGGCGCAGTCCAGTCGGCGGCAGCGTTGGTTGCCCCCAAACAGACCACACCAGCGGCAGCAGTCACCTCATTGCAGAAAGTTCGGCAACATGAGCGTGAGGCAGCCTGAGGAACACATTGGGGAGCTGGAGGCCAAGCTCGCCCAGACCAGAATAGACCACGAGCAGGTCACCATGGAGCTGGTCGACGCGAGGCAGAAGTTCGAGCAGGCCAGCATCGAGGCGACGGCCAACTGGCGACCAGAGACCAGAGGCAGAGGGACCTCGGGGACCAGCAGGACCACCACAGCCACCAGGTCTCGGAGCAGCACCGCCGCCAGCCAGACAGGCAGCGCCGCAGGTACCAACACACGCACGTGAGGCACTCGGAAGCCTCCGAGGACCAGCAGCAGACGCTGCTCGCGCCTTCCTCCAGCAGGTGGAAGCAGCCGCCCAGCCGCAGCAGCCCCCCCCCCCAGCTCCACGCCGTGGGGCAACAGCGGCACCCGCAGCAGGAGCGGGCGCGGCACGGGCAGAAGACGCAGAGGCAGGGGAGAGGAGCAGAGGCTCCCCCGCGCGCGCCTCCCCTCCAAGACGCAGCCGCAGCGCCCCTGGCAGGGGGGGGCGGGGGAGCCGGTGCTGACGACGATCGCTGAGCAGGCCAGCTGCCCCCGCACCGGTCAAAGACACGGCTGAGGAGGCACCAGAGTCAGACTTTCTCGGCGAATCCAGTCTCACAGATCTGCAGCCAAGCGTTGCCAGCGTAGCGGATTATTTAAATCCGCCGATGGAGGGAACTGATGTCATTGCCAAGGGAGTTGCAAGACACCGTTTACCTCGTCGGTGCGAGCAGTCTGCCCCAGTTGAAGCGTTGCGAATCTACCTAGCTAGTACCACTAATTGGAACCACCGGTCCACTGAGTACATGCAGTCAGATAATTTCCGGAAGTCTCACGTCATCGTGTGCGGGCATATGCATATACCGCTAGGCAGAAGGCCCAGGACGGCTCACAAGTTCACGCGCGAGAAAAAGTGTCGATCCTTTTCGCGGACAGGAGCTCACGGCGGCGTTGGGACAGGAGCTCACGGCGGCGTCGGAGTGGTTGTGCAGCGACAGCTTCATTCACATCCTAAAGCCCTCGGAGCAAATGGGAAGGCAGCACCACTAACTATGTGGGGGAACAGGTTGGACTGCATGTCTGCTGAAATTGCACAGCCAAAGTTTCCTCGTGATTTCCGCGTGCACGCAGACCGATGCGGGATACCATGACTATGACTAACCTGAAGGTGAGCGGCGAGATGGCCACGTGCATCAGAGCTTTGAAGTTGCCGTACGCTGCTAGACAGGACTGTCATATGACAGCCAAGGAGCTCTTGGAGGGGTACGCGTGGTTGGAGAACATAGGCGGGGCCGTCGCGCAGCAACGTAGGCCGCGCGGTCGCCTTGCTCACTGCGCCCAACAAGGTTGCAGGCCTCCAGCGGGCAGAGACAAACAGAACCAGCCCACGGAGGCCTCATGCGGGGTTGCGAAGGGATTCCCAGGCAGAGATCCTCTTCCAGTCAAACAACTACCCCCTAGAGGCCCCATGAAACTACCAACCCTGGGGCCACGCCGAGATCCTGGGAAGAGCTCTACTCGAAGCGCATCATAAGCACGAGGAACACCTTCAGGCCCATTATCGCATAGTTCAGGAACACCAGGATCCCGATCTGACACACAAGACCGCTGTCATATCTCCGGCACTGGAATGGTGGTGCTCGGTACCGCGTGAACATGAAGGGCACAGTCGTTGACCTGCACTGCCGTCCGCGCGGCAGCCCAGCTCAAAGCCTCAGACACCTCGATAGGCAAACTGCACTCTTTCTGACATGCAACAGACTCGCCGACCGCCCCTGCGGCATAATCCAGCACATCACGATCCGCTGCGGACTGATTCGGCACCTGCGCGCGACGCGC